ACACACCTCTTGCAACTCCTCCAGCATTTTCCTTAACCGTTCCGTTTCTTGCCTCTCCTTCTCATACAATTCCTTATAATCTATCGAATCAATCTTTGCAGAGGCCGGTGTACCATCACGACTAGTGACCGTGACTAGATCTGATGGCTGCTTAGAGGCTGAGCTCAACGAGGACCTCGGAGGTACCGGTGGGGTAACACCGTGAGGTTGTTGAGATGAAGGCGTCACCGTATTCGCATGGCTCACCGCCGACTGAAACAACCGCATCTCAGTATTTCAGCAATTCAGTTTTCCATCAAATTCACCTCAACGATCAAATTTTCATGGAATTCCTCAACAACTTCGAATCCTTCTCGGAAAAAATTTGCATCTAAATTAACAGTCAGGGAAAATATCAGTCACATACGGAAATTCCCGTTTCTTCAATACTCATAGCGGATGAAAATAACTTTTCGGGCGTCATTTTTCATTAATCCCTTCTTCAGAGTTATTTCAACCCCCTCCCTCTCCCTCCCTCCCTCCTCTTCGCACATACAATCATTTGCTCACCTGCGACGGTTGCAAAGATTTATCACGTTCCGTGATCATTACCCGTGTGATCGCGTTACTATTCGCAGTCGATGCGCTTGAAGGTACCGATGATGACTGATTTTTGGCTGATGCCAGAGTGGATGCAGCTGTTGTAGATGTGTTCGTGTAGGATGTGGATGGTGCATTTAGACTGCTCACACCCTCGGTGACTTGTTGTTGTGACTGATCCTTCGGAGGAGTTGAGATCGCATCCAATGCTGACTGCACCTCTTCAAACGAGATCGGACCGGTACCGCGACGAGTGCTTCGAGAAATCTGCAATTACCGCTCATTTTCACTATGTCCATCGCAATAAGTGAACAAAAAATAATCACCTCAATCAACGAAATTCAATAATCAAATAACAATAACGATAATGAAACAACAACAATTCCATCATTGTCAGAAATCTCATCATAATCACAACAAAAAACAAAAAACGAAAACAGCACCTGTGATCTACGCCTCAGATTAGCCATATCCTTGGTTGGATACGACGACGCCGTAACTGTTGTGGATGTTGGCTTTTTATCATGTTGTTCATCCACAACTTCCGTACTATTCACTGTACTCGCTTGGGAGTCACCACTTTTTAACGATTCCTGCGACGGTGTCTTCGATAGCTCC